TTCGAAATATTATTTCATAGAAGATTTAATGGGTATATTCAACGTGCAAGTGGACTGGTCCGGCGCAAGCATTCGATTGGATAAATCTTGGCACGATGCGCATTATATACTGAATTGGTCTAATGACAAATTGGAAAACATAAAAACATACTATCAATTGGTATTTAATTTCCTAAAAATCATCATATGCCGTCTGACGTTAAAACACATCAAGTATTTAGAACAATTTGCTATTACAGCCCTTTTCGTGAACTACGCGAAAATATGGTACGATATGGTCCAACAGTTCAGTGTTATATTAAGATTGACCGAAGATTTACACGTAAAAGACTTGCTAAGTTCTCTCGATAAGCTCGTTAAATCAGAAGAAACAACAGACAGGGTGGTTAAAACTATAACTCAAATATTGGAAACACTTTGTCTACCTCTCGGGTGCGACGCTACCAAAAAAATCAATCTAAACGGCGAAGAATTTGGAGCACCTTTCAAAAGATCCATATTGAATGAAGTGAATGATTTGAACATTACAAAAAGCCCTGTGCTGATTGAGTATCATAGTTTGGAAAATACAAGAGCATTCTTGTACTACCTCAAATGGGTGTTCAAATATGTCGACTTTGACTTAGTTAGATTACTTGTAGATTATATCAATGAAATAAAATAATAATAGTGTATTAATAGATAGAAATTTTCATCGTATTAAATTTGATTTTTATTACATACAAAATTATATTAATTATACTATAATGTTATTCTTATTTTAATGTATGTGTTGTATAAATAAGTTGTGAACATTTCCATTCAGAGGTTTCATTAAATTCAACACACTGAGGCCAGCAAACTTTGAAGAGGTCTTCGTTCTGCATTATTATGATTGCAAGGGATTAATTATAGTTCATAAAATGTGTCGATAAATATCTGTAATTCGTAAAGATCTAATATTTCAATAACACCTAATTATTATTCTATACAGGTAATTCGATTTTTTGAGCAAAGTTGAGGATTTAACTTGTTGGTTACATATAAGAACAATTTTAAATATTAGTGAACTATAGCTAAACATTGCTAAAACGTTACATTTGATGTGTATAAACTAATTATAAAAAATAGTTATTTTCTCTGTTCCACGGAAAAACGTTGAATCAAGGATATGTGATCCCTTATCTTTTATAATTTATCTATTATCACTTATCTGTTATCATGTATCTCTTATCACCTAACTTGTTTCATTTAACTCTTATTACTTAATTCTTAATTTTATATCTTATCTCTCATCTCCTATCACATAAAAGTAAAAGTGTAACGCAAAAATGGCAACATGACATTTCTTGTATCCAACTCAATAACTTATTCATGTTAAACTAAACAGAAACCTAGAACAGATGAAAACTCTTCGATAATCGATACTAATATATTAAGGTACTCTACCTCACTTTGGTAATCTCTTACTGGTCTGGTTCCTTAGTACCCTTAGATTCGAACAGAAATATTTTAGATAAAGCATTTGCCTTGACCCTAGTTTATTAACCTGTTACTGTTTGTTTTTTTAGCGTGTGTACTGTTTTTTGTTTATTTACTGTCGAATAAAATGGATGTCATTTCCTAAAATTATGTTAAAAAAAAACCCAGTACAGTGGCGTCGGAGTATAGTAGGGACGGGGAGGTCACAGGTGTACAGGAATTTTTATAATTGAAGTGATGAAAATTAATTCCAAATAAACCTAACTCTTTGATGCGAATCAGTAGTTAATATTTTGAAATCAGTAAAGTCTAAAACCAAGCACAGTATAAACCATCACAGTAAGAAAGTATTTAAATGAGGTGCAGTGTTTACAAATTAACATCAAGGCGTTCATTTTGAAGTGAATTTATCCGAGTGAGTAAGTAAGGGAGGTCCAGTGATTACAGATAAAATTACTAATATCGATAAAAACATTGAACCTAATGGTAATTATGCGCTTTAAAATTATTTTTAGTATTAGTGGATCGATTAGGGTTGATCGTCTGTCTATAAAAATATAATGTCATAGTTACACATCTATCATAATAATTAACAATATAACGAAAATATTTTCGTTACCTGTTGATTCCCTCACAAGTCACTCATAGCAACCGGGAAATTGACTACGGTCAAAGTGTAAGTTTCTCCTTTTTATTGAGTTATTCCTTAATATGAAAATTAAAATTAACAACGTGGGGAATACAATATGTTTTCTTCAGCTCGTTACAAGAGCTCATCATCATACAACCTACGTCGATGTAACACGACTATATGAATAATTATTGTAACTAAGAGTAATGAAATCATTATCGAATAAAACGCTTCAATGCGAATCTGTTGACGGTACAAACATCGATACAAATCATTTTAAAAGCACTAACAATAAGTTTCTTCCCAAAAACTTTTATCTAAATAACGTTGTACGTTTATTCCAAAAACTTTTTTCCTGTACAACATTCTTTATTTATTTCAAGAACTCCATAAGACGTTTGTTGTGTGTCTTGGCCCAGAGCTTTTATCCTAATTTCAATAACGTTAAACTAACATAATATTTTGTTTTAACCGTGAATGCTCCAATAAGACTGTACACATTTCGACGTTTCAAAAACATAAATACTCACCCACTTATATTTTTCCATTAGATAGTACCGTAATGAAAATTAAGTTTTTACTTTTCTATAGTAACATGCGTAAGGGATCAGATTGCGGGCCTTTAGATGGTTTTTCATTGCCGGCCTCGCTTCAGACTTTTCATTTCCCATAAACTGACCCATTTCTATTATCTACAAAACCGTACTGTTACCACTTCTATTTCATCTACCACACATTATTGTACTGTATCCACCTTGTTCGATTCTGACAATCGTTTTCAATTATTTCAGTAAAACAAGATTATTCGTCAGCATAAGACAAATAATAGAGGCCTCATATTGTATAATTCCTTGTAAGTTTATGCATTTTGAAGTTTGTGTTTAATGCTGTCCATCTTTGACATCGACATCTTCTATAACATCTGTTCATATTATTAATATTGTTAAAATATGATACTATTGTCTATCGTTTAACCCATAGAGTGGTAGTGTTAAAATGACGCAAACAAAAAGACTTAAGTATATTTTAAGTCATATGCCCAGTTAGAAGAAAAAAACACTTGTTGTGAAAAAGTGTACACTTTTTGTCAAAACGAACAAACCTATTGCCTAATGAGAGATTACAGTTCAGAGATAAGATATAAGAGGTGAGAAATTATAAATAACACAATATAGATAGTTAACGATTTTTATCTCCGTCTCGCAGTGAAACTAAAACGCTAATACGTTGCCAGCCTCTCGGTAAATGGGATCTAAACGTAATTTTTGTATTTCTTTTTGTTGCTGTTTGAGATTGTAGGCGTTTTATGATTTGTGTGTGTGAACTTTGTGAAATTCTAACCCGATTTAGATGTGTTTATATTTTTGCACAACGCCTCCGTTTATAAAAACATAGTGATTTGACTATGTACGGTTGCATAAATGTACTTTCTTATGTGTGTGATAAACTAACAGCGAAATGACGTACAAAACTCGACATCAGATGTGCATGGGCGGCTTAATTTCAGCGAAACTTTTTAACTAGCTTTGTACCTACTTTTCTCTCGACGTTACTTTTTGTACAATTCTATTTTTCCCGTTTGAAGTTTTAACGACATCGAAAATCTCGGGACTTTATTGTATTTTTTGTTTGCACTCTCATTCGGACTTTTTGATGGAAAAAGTTGAGCTCATCAGAGAAGCGCGTTATGTTTAGCCCGGTTAGGTTGTTTTGTGACGCCGTTGTTAAAGACGTTAATTAGAAAAACAAATGTTTACACCATCGGAGGACTCTAATCATGATGAACAGCGCAATTACAAGTTTTGAGTAGATCGCTCACAGTCAGCAAAATACAAATATAAAAAAAAAAATGGTAATGTACATACACAAAATATTTGTTTTTTGTTTTTTTAATTATAATTTATAAATTTATAAAAATGTTAAAAACATAGTTCTTATTAAAAACATTAACAAATTCCTACAGTTCTAGCATACTGTTTAACTCGGAGAATTTAGTATCTGGTGATCAGGTGTTTTTCTGTATCCCATCAAACATCCAGGGATTGTTGATTTCATCTTACACTTATCTCTTGTCAGGAATCCTCTTATCAATAATTTCTTATCAGCTGTCCTGTGAATTATCAATTTTTTCTCATCTGTATTCAATTCTCATCCACGTCTAAATCCCTAACTTATCCAACCTATTCACTCCTAGTTCTCATCCCCTTCTGTTCATTCCTTCCTCAGCTCCTCTTTCCTAGAATGAATTCATCAGTTTTTCAAACTACTACATCCCAGATCACCTGTTTCAAGTTCATATAGTTTTGAATTAAAACTAAAACGACAACGGCGAAGAGTCTAACGGTCATTATGAGACTTGAATGAACTGTATTGATAGGTAAAGTTTAGACTTTTTGGTTTATTGTAAATGAAGTTATAAAAAAACAAATATTATAAATAATCGACCATAGTTATTAGCAAAGAAGAAGCAGGCCCGTTTGTGAAGAGGTCATATAGTATAAATTCAAAAATCAATGATTTTTTGTTAATTTCATACAGTGAAATTATTAAAATGTAGGTAGAAACCAGTTGGCTAAAATCAATAGTTTTTATGGTAAATTTCAAGACAAAATATACAACGAGCATATGAAAGTATTAAGGCTACGAAATAGATTAACATGGCTCATCCATTTTGTATTGATCATTTTCTGACGTACATAATATGTATAATATGGGCTACCTAAATCACAAACCTCAATATTAAATAGTGTTCAGTACAGCAAGAACCTGGCAAAACTTTTGTAATTAGATATAAATCAAATAATAACGCAAGAAATGTTATCTGTATTTATATTTTGTTTATTAACTTGCTTTTTACGTTATTAAGATACATTCTAAAACATTTAAAACTTAATAAAAGTGAGTGACAATAATTTTAATAGAAACGGCCGAAGGATCAAAACGGGTTGCAATTAAATTATAACAATATTGATTAATTTGTTAATATAAAGTTTGTGACAAACAGAAATCACGTTTTAATTACAACCAATTTTTTTATGGAGTTCATCATCAAATGAACAGCTACTAACTTAAAAAAACCTTTTTATTGGATATTTCGTTTATTTAATAAACTTCATGCACCGATTAAGAAATACAAATATGATATTAATTATTTTTAATGAAATTACTCGGTTCTAATGGGGTTTTATTTTTGTTCCAGACTCGGGCAAAAGCATACAGTCATGTTGAAACATTATAATATTTATGATATATATGTTATAACAATAATTATGCTTCATACAATAGTGTAGACTTAACGACTTAAACAACTATATTTTCGCTCGAGTTAACGGAATATCGTGAAACGATAGCAATTTTGATTAAAACAAATTTTATACAATATTATAAATAATATTTTATGAAATAATAGTGTTAATTAAATATAGTACAATCTTAACGCTACACGAATAAAATAATAATAATAATAATTAATATAGTTTTTTTTTATATTAGTAATGTAATAATTAAAAAACAAGAAAGAACCGTTTAAAGACTAGGAACACAATTAATAGCATTATGAACAATAACGTCGATCACAATAGTCGGTTTTTGAAATAGATTATTGTTTGCTCATTCATGCATTCTATTATAGTAGTTATAGTAATAATAATAATAATAGTTACAATATAATAAATAATTTTGTTCGGAAATATTTGTATTTTTTACAAAAGATAAAAAATTGATTGATTCCGTCACAAGATTAAAACGCTAACGATATTATTATGTCAAACCTACAGGATGCTTTTAACCAAACAAACGCATAGCCAGTAATTGTACTACAAGAGAAAAATGCTCGTATGTGGCAAATTTGGCGCGAAACACAAAACTGCATTATTAAAACATGGCAAAACACTACAGGCCACTTTAATGACATAGCCACAAACTATACCGCACACCTAGATCAAAACTGTAACAACTCAAAAAGTGGTTATTTCTGGTTATTTGTATATTCGGATTCTAGTTGCGTGATCCAGCAAAACAAATTTAAATTTATCTTGATCACTCTCCAAAAGATGGCGCTGTAGGTACCTTATGTAAAAATCACTAATCCCATAGCTGTTTTAACTACCAAAACCGTTTAAAACTTAAGTTTCTGACCGGACATCAAGTGGAGTGCACGTGAGTTGGTCGAACAAAACAGTTTTATTAAAATAAACTTAAAAATAAGTTTTTTGGAAAAAAGGTTTTTTTGAGTTGCTACAGTTTTAATCTAGGTGTACGATATGAAAACAAATAGCTCACTCGGCACGTAAACAAACACCGTGACGTCACGTGACTCAAAATGAAATCAGTGTGACTGCACATTCAAGCATGAACTTTCATAATAATATCACAGATTAGATAACAAAAAAAAAAAAAAAATGTAATCTGTGATTATATAGTCAGTTATCGTTTAAATCGTATGATTGATAAGGAATTTGTACATCAATATTGTAAAACATCTGCACGATAATATTTTATACTAATTCACGCGGCTACACTGGTATCTTCGCGAGACCCTAATCAGTCTTTTATAAAAAATTTCCTTTGTTTTCAGCCCAGTGAGCTATCTGTAGCTACCATATTATAGCCTGTGTCATAGCAGTGGCAATCAACATCATTGTTAATTTCCAATCGCCATACCATTGGCTCGCTGTCGGTCAATAGCAGCTGTTAATCTCAAACTATCGACTAAATCATTGGTTTTTTTTCTTTTTTTAATGAAATAAATTAACGATTGAACATCTCGAGTCGTCCATATTTAAGTGGTCTACCCGGCTAACATTTTTTCATATTAAATAAAACATGCAACCGGTACGGCGAAACAGTTTTTCTACCAGATAAAATTGTCACGGATAACACTTAAGGTTTTGCAAAAAAATACTGACAGCTGTGTAATATCCGATACAAATGCGCTTATTGCGTTTGCATAGAAAGTATCATTGAATCTACAATTTTTTGATTTTCCTTTGGCGCGAACCAGAGGAAAATCACATAACAGGACACTCTTGGCCCAAACGATGTACACAATCAATTATACCTTATTCTCGACAATAGAGTGTTTTTTTAAACGATTAAATTATATCGGGTTGCTAATTTTTTAATAATACATATTATACAAACTGCTCGCTAAGTGTAGTGCTATGAATGTATGTATATATTAAGTACAATTACTATTGTAGACCTTTGGCGCTACTACGTAACAGAAACCGCTAATGCGACAGAGGAGAGTTTCTACATTTTTTTAATGCTCTGGGTGCGTTTGTCGTTCAACTGTCCAATGTGAGTTGCTTCAGGCCGGTGGCGATGTGAGCGTCCAAGTCGGCGGCGACTTCGGCCGACATGTCGGGATGTGTGTACGACAACAGGAAATGACACGTGCCCGGTATGTGCTCAGGAAATCCCGTCGGCAGACACGATCGGCTCCTTTCCTCGAACGAGAACCCTGGCGTTTTCATCAATAGCCTGAAAACATGAAGTCATGGAATTTACTGCGGTCGTGACATGAATAAAATTGTTAGACCGCGAGACGAGTTGGGAGATTGTTGTTAAGCCAATTTCAATGCAATTTTTTTCATAAAAAAATTGTACATAGGTTAGGTTAAGTTTTCACATAGGTATAGACAAAGGGTGTATCATAAAGAATGGCGTGGTTTCAAACGGCTGTAGGTTTTGAAGTATTGGACCTGCGGGGGGGAAATGTGTCCTGATTATACACAACTTCAGAGCTCTGCAGTGAACAGTTTATATAAGATAAAGTTCTGAAACTCACCACTCTTTTTCTACGTGCCAAGGTGATTCTAATAAGACCCTAAATGACAAAATCGGTTTATCGGTTTCAGAGACCTGCGTGGCTAAAAAAAAATGTACCTAAAATTGACGGCTGTTTTAATTGCGAACAGCTTAAATAATTTTTTTTTAAATTTATATTTTGTATATTATTCTTGATAAGCTCTTTGAGCTTAAAACCATTTTTCTATCTCATATGGATTAAGAAAAAATTGAAAACTAAGCGTTTATAAGATGGAACACATATACTTTTTTCAAATTTAAATCATTATACCGCATAGGTATAAAATCTGATTTCATTTGATTAGGTACTCTCATTTTTATCGTTCACTACAATATGTTTTTGTAGAAGCAATTTCATTGACAATTTTTTTTTTTTGTAGACAAAGGTTTTTAAAATATGTCAACTCCTAGACCGTCACAAAATTAAAAGACATGGATAGATAAAAAAAACCGCAAGATTAAAAAAAACTATTTATAATTTACCTCGTGGTTAACGATTACTTTTTGAAACAGAAAAACTAATAATATTAATTTCAATATCAAATGTTTAATTTGGATCAAATAAATCACCATTAACACAGTCAATAACGGTTTATTTCAGATGAAATATTACCGTTTCATATCCAAGAATTTTAGGCGAAATTATTGTAAAACAAATTGATTACATTTTATAAAAAGTTAAATGCATTTTTCGTCCTTTTTCTAGATATGAAAATGACTTACTTGAAAAAACAACTTTCAAATTCATTTACGGTTTTATAAACTATAAAACACACGTTCATTCCATTCTGTTCACATTGATTTCCATGAGTAACGGTGGTCGGTTAGCCACAAATTGAAATGTCATTAGGACTTGTACACATCTCATACGGTCTTTTGAAGAGACAAAGTTACCAAAGGCGGTTTTGGGTGTCGGCCAAAACGGGTGGCATGTAATAAGACTAAGTAATAGCCAAAAAGATCAGTGATGAACGAGGCTTTTAGAAAATGCCTTACCTAATGAACGGATGCGTTCGGCAAAGATGGCAGTCGATGTAATGAAATTTGTGGCTTAACCGTTAAATTATTGTTTTTAAGAAATAACGAGTTGGACATAAAAATTTGTTAGTATATTAGCTTAATTTTTTTTTCGAGAGTAAAGCATTTCGAGAAAAAACCGTTTTCTGAATATACAATTTTTATTTTTCACCACTCTATCCAGCTAAACAAGAGAATCATTAGAATTCTTCAAGGCTTTTCTCGATAAAATCATATCAGTGTGCCACGCAATGAAACGGACGATCAGGAGATGAGACGGTTGACAAAAATAGACAGAATGACTGGATAGCTACAGATACAGATGCGGATTTGCAATGGTAAGGAAACAGAATATATCCATAAAAGCATTGTAAATTACTGTGCTACTGTTGCAAAATTGATCTTAAATTATAATTTTTACAAAATAAAGAAAAATCTAATGTGCGATAATTGACAAAAGACTTAGGGTGGGTACTGGCGCGCTGTGATGAGATAAGGGCGCTGTGTGTGTGTTTATGTAGTAGCATGTAATTATGGAGATGGACGAACACCTCCGGCCCGGCGCGTTATAAATACTCTGAGATTTCCGGACGCTGCCGGTGTTTATGCTCGGCGAAGGGTGGGAAGCGAGGAGAGACTATTGTTAAATATGATTTATTATACGGACGAGCTGGCAATATGTAAATAGCCCAAAGTGATTGCGATCAGTAAGCTGCTGACTGACATTAAAATACACGGGCGGAATCGTAAATTATTATAATAATAATAATAATAATACCTATGAGACAAACGCGCTCACGTGAAGCTCTCTATCTCTCTCACTCTCGGTTTGGTCGAGTACAGATTATTTTCGCCAGTCGCTGCACATAAATCAAAACCGACCGTGATCCGTCTGTAACCGTCGTCCTACCTGTTCTACCGACGTTTTATATTATAATATTCCGTCCTCCGTTCTCGTGGAAAATCAAATTCATCGGAAGTGCCTTTTGATCCGTTTAAAATACCGGAATAGTCGAGTCATAAGCAGCACACTTTAACCACCTGACATTTGTGAACAGCTTAGAGTAAACAAAAGAGCTGTACATCAAGCTGAAGCAACGTTGAGCGTGACCTAGTATTAGGAAAATTTAGAAAAAAAAATAGTTGGTACATTTCGAGTAATCTTAATCAGATAAGTCTGATTATTTTCATCGTCGATCACTTAATTGGTTTGTCATGTATTGTTATCGTCACTTAGCTTTATTAGAATTTGACATTTTTCCTTAAAAACTAATTTTTGTCATTTACAAACTTTTACAGAATCTAAACTTATTTAACATCAAATTTTTGTCAATCACGACCAAAGTAAGTATGATAAAACGGATTACACCGTCTTTATTTCTAGTAATAATAATTATCGTTTTTTTTCAAATTATCGCACTACTACAACAAACAGAACCCTAAAAATATAATCAAACCATAAAATAGAGCTCTTTAAAATGGACTTTCTATAAATTAGCGGTTTAGGTGTTCGTGGAAGTTAATCGACATGACGATATGTGCTTTTGGGACTTACTGGTGAGTTGTGGGGCTAACGTTGATCCGCAAAGGTTCGCTGCCCGACTCGAACTTGTTGGCGATCGTCACGTTGTGGCCGAACAAACAGTATCTGGGCATTTTCACGCCCACCACTCCGGCCAATATGGATCCGGTGTGCAATCCGATTCTCATCTGAAACGTTATAAACACAAAATTATAAAATCTTAGGGAGCATTGAATAACAGACCGGAGAAGTCCTGCCAAACGCGCGGTCCTGCGATATTACATTACATTACCATATAATAGATACACAACTGGGGTGAACTGAGAAAACAAACTAAGTGAAAACACAACAGTTCATACCGGAGACATTTATATAGATATTCTATAACTCGATACGTGGAACGCGTATTCAGATTGAAAAATGTCCCAATCAGGAAGGCAGCCATTTTGTGTACCAATTTCATGGAAACTAAAGATGCTACGTTACTTTTCCATGATACATAGGCTAGGTGATGATTATATTATGATGATAACTCTGTCATATATATATATATATGATAAATCATAGAAAAAAACAACAAATATCATGGAAAGAACAATAACTGTTCGTAAAATAGCAGCGGATTAAAGGCATTGCACGTTATATTGAGTGCAGTGATTGTACCCAAGCAATCGGTATCGGTGTAAAATATACATACAGAGGAACGTGTGCTAATGTCCCCGGGTTCCAATTTGGCCAGCTGTTATTTTTTGGTTTTTTACAAGACTCTATGGTTCATTTTGATAAAAAATTTAAACGACGTTGATTTGAGAATCCCGTACAAAAGTTTACACAGACCACGACCTACGCGGCGAACGCCTCTATTCTGACGGTCGTTGTATTGTTGATGTTGTTGTATATATATACATCAGTTTTAAGTGCGGTGCCGCTAAAAGTTAATAGGAGGATTTTGTTTATCGTCTACTTTTATTAGCTACTTTAAAAGTTCTATAAAAATTACCTTACGTAAATTATTAAAACCCGAGACGGCGACGATAAATTACGGGTCTTTTAAAACTATCCTTCAACTCGAATAATTCTCGGCGTCTAATAAGCGCTTTTGTATAATATAGAAGAAATTCATGCGCATCGTACCCAACGTTTGTTTGTAAAAAAAAAAAAAAAAATTAAAATACTGAAAAAAATCAAACCTCTAACGGCCACCTGATGTGTGCGCGGTCGAGTGCGCTGGGTTATTAATATTTCTCTCGTCGTTAATATCAAAAATGAATACAACAAAATATAATTTAAGTTCTACAACGTAATTACTATATTGTTATGCTTACCCTAATCGGTTTTCCGTCGTGTGTGTGGTGAGTTTTGCACGTCTCGATCATCTTCAAAGCCATCCACGCTATTTGTTGTGCGTGTATTGAACTGTATTTGTGCAAGCCTGACGCTACACAATAAGCGTCGCCAATCGTCTCTACCTGTTGATGTAAACAAATATTTACCAAGAGTTACTACTTGGATTATAATGGTGTTTCAGGTTTTTTTTTCAATATTGATACTCTACAATATCGAAGGATTGTCCAAAATGAATTATTTTTATTTGAACTCATGATTGGTAACATTTATTGTTCATTTTTTTATTTGTTATACATAGGAAAGACAAATTAAAAAATATTTGCATCTTCTCCTATAAACATTTTAATGGTAGCAGGTAATACGTTCAAAATATGTTTAAATATAAAAAAAAAAATAATCCCAAATTTTATAATTTATAATTGGTTTTAACTTGTTTTAGTAGACGTAAATCTTTTTTATACTGTAATTAAAAATCTGTCATCTATAAATGGAGTTTTTCCATAATAATTTATATAGGTACACAAAAGAAGAAAACAAATGTAAGCTTTCGAAACGAATATTGCTAAATTCATTAAAAAATAATAATAATTTGTACAGCGATAATATTATATACCGGTTGACGGCCAAACCGTTCGGACCGTCGAAAACGTTTAATAGGATTTTTTTAATGATTTTTATTATTATTTTTTTTAATTCTCGAGAAGCCGTCGACTGGAAAATTCTGACTAAACGCTGATAAAATGACAACACCGTAAACAGCGGTGATATATATATATATATAAATATAAAATATTGTATGTATTTTGTGCATTTAAAAGGTTCTTTGGAAGGTATTGAAAAAATAATTATTTGATACAGCACCGTAGCTAAAGTCCGTTCGATTGAAACGCATACAACCGAACGTTTTACATAACTAACGATGCGGCAATATTTCCATAATGAAAATTATATAATCTCCCTCCCCTTTGGAAAATACCTTTTCATACCGAAATTCGGTTGTTCATTATTTGTAGGGGAAAAAAACAATTCCACAAGACGACGTATAGTTGTTGTTTTCCTTGTCCCTTGACCCGTCATTTTGTTGTCGTATTTTTCTTCTTCTTGTAAGCCTCATAATGATCATTATTATTATTCCCTTTTTTCTGCTTGTTGAATTACTTAAATTATTCAGCGTTTGTTTTGCGAGTAACAAAATCATTATGCATATTCCCCTTTTTTTTCTCTAACTGACTGAATAACATCTCTTTTGCATGATTAAAAAGTTATTGTAATATCTTATGTAGTATTCTTTTTTTGCGGTTATTATTATAATAATTGTTTCTTCAATTATATTTCATTGTTTCTTACAAGTATTCGAGTGGCTGACAGTGATATAATAAAATTAAAAAAAACCAAAGCAACTTTGTGGAAAATATTGTAGTTTTAAATGAAACCCAATCCATAAAAAATAGTACACTTATCGCGTATACGTATTTCGACAACTATGCTGTCATCTTCAGTGCTGATCGTCGACTTTGTTACTGTCATAAAATATAAAAATTACACAGACTTAAATATACAATTCTTGTTAATCTTATTGAAAAAAAATGTCACATCACAACCAATAATAAAAAAAAGCCCGGTTTATTTAAAATTGACGGTCAATTTGTTTAATATTAAACTGTCTGTCGGTGTTGTGCTATCAGGTTTAACATCCAAATAGAAATTGAATTGTCATTGACACGTTTTGATATTTTTCCCGTCCACTTTGTCCTGAACCATCGTGTCGACTTTAATATATATATTTTAATTGTACTAAAAAATGCAACACAAATCAAAATAAAACTGTAAATTATTTTGAACGGTGAAACAAACTGAATGAATCAGAGCGGGCGTTCCATTTATGCAATATCGCAGCATTCGAGTGTGCATTAAAAGAAAAAGGCTTTCAGACGGCGCTACTCTTTAAGAAAACAGCTGCAGAGAGTATAATAATTATTATAACAGAGTCTTCGGCGAAGGGTATGAATATGCATATTGGTGTTGTGCCTCGACCCGGCCGAGTAATTGGTTCGAATGTTTAAGTACGGCATATCCGTCTTGAGTATTCAAATGACAGTCTATAACTTAACCGTTTCGAACTTAAATTGTTTTCCAAGCCGATACAAACAAATTCAACGATTGGTCTATAGGTCAAGAGTTATCGGAGTAGCGATGGCAGCGGCTAAGGCAGCGTTAAGTAATTATGTGCAAAAGCAAATGTTTGTTTGTTGTGATTTTATGCGAATAATATCTTTAAAGAATTTTTATTTTCCAAATAGGTGTAATCTGTACAGAGAAAAGCCACATGTTTACATATATTCGTATTGCACTGCATCGTCCATCACTAAGGATAAAATCCTTGTTTTTATGGACGAGAGTCTCTAAAAAATAATACCTTATGATAATCTTAATGCGTCAATTTTAATATCAAACTGACGTAGTTTACAGTAACGTCAACTTCCAAGTATGAAAATATGTTTGCCTAATCAACAATTATATAGAAAAAAAATAGTTTATATTGTGACAAATCTATGGTCTTATGAAATTAGAAATAAAAATGTACAAATGACATTATTTATGTTAAAATAATATAATCAACGTATTGGAAATTAAATTGGATTAGCACAATTATCTTGAAGATAAAAATAAAAGCTGGAGTTGTACATAATAAACACATTGGCTATGGGTTTCTGGACTTAGATATACATTTTGAGACTTCAAACGCTATTGCTCGCAGTGCATCGCGTCTCAAAAACAGACATACATTGGTCCTTGTCAATGATTTCTTAGAATTGTCTGGTATTAGTTTGGCGTTCAAATTGTCAGAGTCCACTCACGAGTGCCATAACTCTCGGTCAAAGTATATTATTTTATTTTCTAGTTTTACTACTGGACCGTCTCGGTCACGGTCGTTTGAAAAGACATACGGGAAACCATTTGGCTTTACAACATGCAAGACCAGCGGGTGACTTTGTGCATATGGATCTTGCGAAATCATCAGACAGACTTGTTGTTAATAAATCAGTGAACCTGGGACGAGCATAAGATGATTATTTCTCTATCTCGTCTTTATAGGTTAATGTAGAATATATTTTATTACCGAGCAATGGAACCGGTAATAATAATAATACATTTACAATAGCGTGTCTCCATATGTCCAAATGGGCATTATTATTTGGCCGGAGAAAAATAGTAATATCGTTATGTAGCATGGTCCGATGGCTTCTCGGTACAATTCAGAGTTATTAAACAGAAAGTTACAGTTCTTTACAAATGGCATAGATAGAAGTCACGCTGAACACTATGTGAATGTAATAACTCAAATAAATGAGAACAGAGAAAAAAATATATACATTATGGGTTACTATTATTATTTTAACTCAAAAAATCTTCAGATGCAATCTTTATGAAAATTAAACGATCAACAAATAGTATTTAAGCTAAAAATATTATTTGATAAGAAATTTTAGATGGTAATTTGTAACAATCGAATAACAACCTACCATATTATCTGATTTAACTATAAAATTTAGAATAATATAATAGTCACTAAGTAATCATGGTAACTGTTTAGTTAAATGACAATTAGTCAAATTATATCTGATCGATAACTCCAACTGTTATCGATCAGTTATAATTTGTATTACACCTTTCTGTTTTAAGATACAAATTGAATACATGGGTTAATGTCCGAGTATTAAAAGTTACCCTCTTATAAGCAACCCCTTAGAGTAATGATCTTAAATTCAAATCCTTACAAAGTTATAGCAAACGAACAGATTGATGACAATTTTAAATTCTTTATTTTTTTTTTAAATGTTTGTCTACATATTTATATATGAATAAAAAATATATGTTACCGTTTGAAAACAAAGTCGATACTTATTTTACGTATAAGACGATGAAGATTAAACGTTTCAAAGTACTGTAAAATATATTAAAAATGTATCTACGTGTATAGAAATAAAATAATTTTCAAAATATTCATATTTTCCGGGACAAATAGTGTCTTACATCACTCTGTATAGTACCTGGTGGTCATGTGCGTGGGATTTAAATTCATCCATCTGGCTAGTCCGTACACGTTCATTTGCCCTATGCACGCCATTCTGTTGGGCTATAAACCGTAAACGTCCTCCTATATATAGTAATAATTTCACTTTGTTTTCTTAGGACCTACTATTCTGTAGAGCAAACACATACAAACCAGTGCGGGATATATCGTTGTCGTGTATACTTTACTTCTATAATATAAATGCTTTATTATACTAATTTTTGCTCCAATGATGGCTTATTTAATAGCCGCGTCTGTTGCATTTACTAAGTCTTCAGGTTGCTTGGCGCCGGTTGGTATCCATATCTATTATTATTTATCATTTGTATCATTGTCTATCATATTTGCCTGGGCTGTTTTTTGAGCATCGCTGGCCACGCTTCTTTTGATCAATCATTTAAGGTTTTGGTTCATAGCAGCTGGTAGTTAGCTCCCCGGTTAATTTCCAGTTACTTGTAGATTAAAGCCGCGTTTCGCTACTTTGGAAAACGCCCACTGCAAAATCAGAGAGCGTTTTTTACTGTGAATAATTCTTCATAAAAACCAAAGGCCGTCACTTTTATTTAGTATCGGATTCGTGGTTTCATCGTCGCAATTACCATCAAAGGTTTAGGCCGTTTTTCCGTTATTGATTTCTAATAAAGTTTCCTGCCGGCGGCGGCTGCGTTACATTTGTGGCCAATCAATCCGATAAAAATGTTTAATATTAAAAAAGTTCAAAGTCGTTACGGCCTCACCGATATCGATACTATTTTTTTTTCAGCCGTTAAAAGTTTATAATACATGACGTTGACGACCGTTTCCGGATGTTCATCGGCCGTTCCGGAAAGGAACGCCAAGCTCATCGGGGGTTTCGGCGCTTAACCGAAAATAGATCAGCCCTGTAAGATACATGCCCGGTCGTTAAGTCGTTGTATTTATCTTGTCGGGTCTTGTGGCCTCGGCCGGAAGGCACATAACGTCGTTGACGGTACGGCATTAGGCACGTAACGACTGTCAGGATCAAAATACATATTATTATGCATTCAAATGATACCGCAGAGTCGT